AGAAGGCAAAGCAAACAGACTCCACACATAAGACAGAGACATCCATCATCTATAGAAGAAAAAGCCTCTTGCTTGCACCTTGTTGCAACACACACTCACAACTTCCTTGCTTTTCTGACCTGTGACAAGGGCTACGTGCACTTCAACAAGCATGTGTGCCACCATTTAACCCCAGCCAGCAGATAAGCACCACACAGCCATTTCCTCACTCTCCCTCCACTCACCACATGCTGGGATGTGGGACAATATCAGAAGAGTCAAATTGAGAAATCATCTGGATTGAGATGAGAAGAGTTTAGCCACTGGAATAGGATACAATAATAGCCTTTATAATAATATCAATAAAAATAATAACTGATAATCATTATAGTAGCATGAATAAGGTAAAAATAATAATAATAAAAACCCACTAAAACCCAAGAAAAGATAAGTGATGCAAATGAAAAACAATGCCTCACTACCAACCAACTGAAGTCCATCGCAGCCAAAGCCAGGACAATAGGATTCATCTGCCTGGCCTTGCAATTCCATTACAGCACAGAATAAGAGTCCAAAGCCTTGACTAAGAGCAAGTGATACAAGAACATAGCAGGGGACGTGGACCTATTCCCACTCTCAAAGGATTGCAGAAATGGCCCTTAACAAGAGTTGAAATATCTTCTTTCCTGAGCAGGGGGAGTCTTTACTATTGTTTCTAATGTCTTTCTTTGTTTTGGAAATTGGGACTAAGAACATTTTCTGACTTAAGATGAGAGGGAAATCATTAATGTCAATTGTAACTGCAGATTTACTCTGGAGGAAATAGTGCCACAGGTTGTAGACCTGGTCTCCTCCAATGATGAGGAAGGAAGCCTCGGCCTGTGCTGACTCCATGCTACTTAAAGGGAAGACTATTGAACTGTTCTGCAGAGAGCATCCCACGATTGTCTGGTGCCATGTCCTCGGCAGTGATGGAGCCACGAGGGTAATCCTGTCCATCGTTGGTGCCCCCACCCATGAAGCACTGCTGTGGTGGCAGGCTGGGGAGGATGGGCTTCAGGAACTTGAACTCACTGTTGCCTGAGCCTGTTGTGAGGCTGATCTCATAGCAATAGCCGTGGGGAAGGGTCCCAGCCGTGGCAGCATCAACCAGCTCACTCTGCAGGTTGCCAGCACCATAAAACACCTGTCCATCCTTCAGCTCCTTTCTCTTGCAAATCTTGTGAGTGAGGAAGGCTATGAGGGAGGCGAGGAAGAGGAGTGAGACAAAGGTCAATGAAATGATTAAATAGGTTGTCAGGGAGTCGCTCTCGTCCTCCGTGGCCAC